AGGAGGTCTTTTTAGAAGCTTGGCATGGTCTGTGCACTTTTCATATTATGCAAAATGCTGTCAAGAATCTAGCTGAAGCTGATGATGAAGAATCATGTACTCCTCCAAAAAGAAAGGCCGAAGATAGCAAGGAAGAACCAAGTATCCTCGCAGATTTTAGTGCATGTATGTATGAGTATGAAGATGAAGCAACATTTCAAGAAGCATTTAACATCATGAGGACAAAGGCCGACAAGCAAACTTGGTTGGATAGTATCTACAAGGTAAAAAGAAAAGTGGGCTGAATGTTATATGACAAATGTGTACACATTAGGGATGAGGAGTACACAATTGGTGAGAGCCTAAACACAATGACTTGAAGCGGCATTTCAAATCAGATTTTGATATCATTCGATTCTTAAGCATTTTGAAAGGGTTGTGGAATATAAAAGAAATAATGAATTGCAAGCTGAATTTGAATCAAGGAAAAAATTACCAAGACTCAAAATGAGGACACATATGTTAATACAAGCTAGCAAGCTGTACACACCAATTATATTTGAAGCTTTCCAATGTGAATATGAGAGGTCCATGGCAGCATACACCACCCCATTGGAAGACAAAAATGAATATCTTGTAGCAATTGGGAGTCTTGATGAAAATCCTACCCTTGAGAAGGAATACAAAGTTACTTTGGTAACCCTCTGAGACCAAACAAGCACATGCATGTGTGGCGCCTAATAGAATCGAATATTGTGTGCCCATGCTCTGAAAGTCTTGATTTGATGAATATCAAGTCAATCCCAGAACAATATATATTGAAGCGATGGACTCGTGAAGCACGTAGTGGGATAGTACAGGACAACCAAGGCCGAAACATAGTAGAGGATCCAAAATTAGATACTATGCTTTGCTACAAAGATATGACTCGCAAATTTCTTAATTTGGTACACCGAGCTGCAAGTCATCCACGGTGCGTCTTATTAGTAAACAATGCACTTGACATGGTTAGCAAGCAAGTCGAAGAAGAAATCACAGGTTTTCCTAGTGCAATGGAGCCTATCAATGTTCCTACAAATGATTCGCCCCCAATTAATTTGCTGAGCACAGCAAGCCTAAAGAAAAAGGACATTGAAACTAAAACCTCAAGGCGCCAAAGAAATTGGCTTGACAAAAGACGTAAATTTGCAAAGAAGGGAGGTAAGGAAAAGGAAAATGGTTCAAAGGTAAGTGATAACACAAAATACATTTGATTCTCTTTCAGCATGTTCAATAAGAAAATATATTCAGTTTTGTTTTTTTTTTACTTGAAGGAACAAGAAACGGCAAAGAAGGGAGGTAAGAAAAAGGAAAATGGTTCAAAGGAACAACAAACTGTAAAGAAGGGAGGTAAGAAAAAAGAAAAAGAAGGAGCAGTACAAGAAACTGTAGCTGTGCAAAATATTTCTCCAAGTATTTCTTTGCCCATGGAAGAAATGTCCGAACAGTACATGGCTATCAATACATTCTCTCAGATACTGACGGTAATATTTCAAACTATTACACCATTCTACTAAAACATACATGGCCGTCAATACATTCTCTCAAATGTTCTCAACCTTTTATTTTGCGAGGGACAGATCCACAGATGATGTTATTGCTGATTTCTAGTAGCATGGACATTTGCTTTAATCAATCTGAATATATTTTTTAAATCTGTTGCTTCCTGAAACATAGATTGTTTAGAGAGTAGCTTTTGAAGAATAGCCTCATGAAATATTTGTCATTGAAGTGTAAGTTCAGGGAACTGCATCTCTGAACAACAGAGCGTCAAGTGCATCTCTGAACCTACATTCGAATTGCATCATCGCATGAAAAAGAGCCTTTTGTTCATCAAACTTGCAACAATCAGCATTACAATTCCAGGACAATTTGCAACACAATGGAAAGCTATACAATTTGCATGATTTGTTGCCTTCGATACAATCACAAGTTACACAGTACTAGCTCTTGCACAAATGTCAATTTACAGGCAAGCTAGCAATAGAAATTAGAAAGGGGAAAAAAGGCCGTGGAACAGCAGCCATGTCCGGAGCTCTGCAGAGGCGGAAGACGTGCAGAAGGTGGGCGACATGGAAATTTCGCAGGCCGGTGACGGCAACAGCGACGGCGACACGCTCGGCGAGGATGGCTGCTCGTCAAGGACGGCAACCGAGCGGCGGTCTGCGAGGGCAGCGTGGCACAGCTCTTGGCGAGGACGGCGCGGCACAGCCGGACGCTGACGGCGCGGCGCAGCTCTCGGCGAGGACCGCGACGGGACGACCTGACTCCGACGGCGCAGCAGTCGACGACGCCTTCGAGTGAAACTACGGAAGACAACGACTGCGATTACCTTTCTGGGCTAGATGGGCCTTGCCATTTGGGCAGCCCATTACACTTTAGCGTATCCATCGTCCGATCGTGAGCCGACGTCTACGATGTCGTGACTGCACAGCGCAGTCATTCGAGGTGAAGTTAGACGATCTCGTTCCTCGCATTAAGGCCCTCTTTGGATCCTTGGAATTAAAATCCATTCCAATAATCATAATTTAGACAAAAATCAATTAAGTTAACATGGTTGCATGCGGAACGTGTAATGGTTTGAGATTGTGTAATGGTTTGTAGCATTTTTATTGATGGCATTTCCTGCAGAACTTATTAAACTTAAATTAAACAAAAAAAAAGCTGGCCTTGTCGATATATTGCCACTCTGTTACCTGCGGCATGCTGGTTGAATCTGGGAAACGCTTCGTCACGAAGTCTACTACACCAGCTGCTGCTAAGTTGTATACTTGTATTTGCATGAATGGTGCAGTGGCAGATGTGCTGTCAACCTGCATGAAACGTACTTGTAAAAAAAACTGCATGAAACGTCCGTTGGATCTCGGCCTGCTGCAAGTATTTGTTGGGCTATGTCATGCGTGCCGAAACAAAACATTAGCGGCCCAGAGCCCAGGGGGCCTTGGGTTGCAGCATCACATGTACGCACGCCGCCTCTCTCGCTCACGCGTGCAAGTGTAAGCGCGGTGGTTGCCACCGCCGGCTGCCGCTTGTGGTACTGTGGGTAGCCCGGCAACGAAAACGAAGCACGTCATCCAGCATCCCGCGTGGGATATGTGTGGACCTTTTTAATGCAACAGATCATAATAGACTTGTAGGAGTATTTTTGAAGCCACGAATGGGTCATGAATCCGGGGCACATACGGGATATAGTGGGCACAGAGGCAGTATGAAAAGTAAAAAAAAAGCGGAACAAAAAATGCGTTGGAAGAAATGCTTCGCTCTTTAATATTAGGTAGAGATTATACTCACAAATGACAAATGTGCTTGTGCGCTGTAACGGGACCCGATACGTTTTAGAATCGGATTTTGTGACATCATTCGACGCGAGTTGTTCTGACTTGTATGAGCATGAGTCCTAAGTTTGGGTTGTCATCTAAGAGATATGGAGAGTACAGGGGTATTTTAGGAATAAAAGACGGGTTAGAAGAAGCTTTTCTCTTTAATATTCAGTAGAGAATCAAAAAGAAATAATATGTTGTGATGAGGCCACGCCCAGTGCTACACACTGGATGGAAGTCTCAGCTTCCACGTCTCCATCGAACGTTCGAGTCAGCTCGCATAGTGGTTTTGCAGATTGCAGATGACCAGGATAGCTTGTACGTACAAGCAGTGATAGCTTGCTCTGACAAAAGGTTACAGGCTTTTGGGACTGAAAAGGTAAAACAAATGTCAAAAGATGAAATTTGACTTTTATCAGTATGCTTTGGGAGAATTAGACAATATTTGGTACGGTTCCCATCTAATTACTGATATTGTTTGGTTGGTACTTTAGTATTGGCGACCACAGTTTTTCTAGTGTAAATTCCTGCCATAGTTGTGGCGCCAAAAATCTCAGGCATGCGGTGTGGCGGCCACAGATGGAGTATAGCTAGGTGGGATCACGAACCAAACATCCTCTTACGACCTCAACTGTTGCTTGATGCACATGTAGTTACTTTTTGTTGGAACCACGGGGAAGTGTCTCTGTAGGTGCTTTCAGACATTCAGAGCACCTTCCTCACAACTTCCAAAACTTTGTTCTAATGTAGAGACCATAATTTTAAAAGGCGGCGGTGCTAGCATTTGAGAGAGGGGGCCTTCCTAACACTCGTAGGATTTTGTACTAGAGAAAAGTAGTTGGAGTAGTTGAGCGTGCATAATATCATTTTCTTTCTTTTTTATTTTCTTTATTACAAAAGACGGCGTTGTAGAGGTGTCATATATCCTCTATTGCCCTGTTTGCTTAGCTGATAAACCATGGCTGAAAGTACTGTTGGCTGATTTACTATGAGAGAAAAATATTGTTCATTGGTCGAAAAAGTACGGCTTATAAGCCAAATGAACATAGTGTATAGCTGAACTATATATTGAGAAAAAAAAAGAATCAATATTGAAATAAGTGTCAGAAAAAATACAACTAAATTTAACAAAGTTTTCGTCTCAAGCAGTATGTTATCCCCCGTTACCGTCAATAAGAGCAAATAGATAGCCAAATAAGATCTAGCTGTATAGTCGCTTCTGAAGACCGATCGATCACATGGTGTCTTTTAAAGACCGCACTATAGTAATCTATTCCAAAGAATTCATTTTCTTCAAATCCGCTATTTTTTCTTTTGAAAGGAAACCGGCTGGACTTCTCACTTAACATGACACCACGCATAGATTGCAGCTAACAACGACACGGCGTAGCCGCTATGATTATACTATACACAAGAGGTAGCTCTAGTCACCAGTACTCCATCGGTTCCAAATTATAAGTCGTTTTGATTTTTTTGATTCATCTATTTTGTTATGCATCTGAACATATTATTATTATATCTAGAAGAGTAAATAAAAGACTTAAGAGAAGAGGACAGCACCGCAGCACACGGTTTCAGACTGACTACAGGAAGCAGGTCTCCGAGATCGAAGAAACCCCACTTTTCCCCAGTCGCCCAGTCCCCACCACCGGCGCCAGCCCGATGGCGGGCCCTGATCCCTCCGACCGCCAGCCGGCGCCCGACGGCGCCCGCCGCCTCCCCTGGACCACCGTGGTGATCCTCGTCGTCCTCGCCGGCAACTTCGTGCTCTCCGTCCGCCGCGTCCGCGACAACCGTGGCGCGCTCGCCTTCATTATCGGCCTCTCCCACCTCAACCTGCTCGCCCTCTTCTACGCCACCCGCCGCTTCCAGCTCTCGCCGCCCGGGTCGGTGGCCCAGGGCCGGGCCAGGCTTGCCGTGTGGCTCCTCACCACGACGCTCACGGCCGGCTTCACCTGGAAGCTCGGCACGATGCTGCCCCTCGGCTTCATGATCCTGGCCTGGGTGATGGCCGCTGCCACAGTGCTCGGTGGTTTCCACCTCATGTTCGTCCATGGCCACAAGTGAGCTCGTTCTCATCACGATGCTGCGCAGCGCAGTTCTGCCTTCACCATGTCTTACAGTAGTACTATATAGATGGAGTAACTGAGTAAGTCTGTTGAACCCTGTATGAATCTCTGAGGCGCACCACTGGCCTTGTGCAACATAAATAAATAAGGTCTGTAATTTGGGTTGAAGTTGAAGTGGACCGATACATGAGAGTGATTGAGGTCGTCTTTTTTATTAATTAAATCGCTTTCAGCGTTTTTAGTTGCACGCTTCGAGGGCACCTCTTTAGCAAAACAGACCAAGATCAGATTCTTCAGTCGAAACAAATATCAAACGCTGGATAGAAAGGGAACTCTCCCTTCGGTATAGATCCCCTCACCACAATATATATTAGCTTTCGATTTGGTTCTCCTGGAATTAATCTATGCAAGATCTAGGGGCATCTGATTGGAGATACTTGTGCATCTTGAGACTTGAGTTGGCATGCACCTGGGTGAGGATCAGGAGGGTTCCTGTTGGCAAATGGTCACAATCACAATGATTCTGTCCGAGAACTCTGCAAAGGATGCACCAAAGGAAAGATCCAAGACCCCACCCAGTATTCCCTTTTTCCTATAGGCACCGCCTTTTATCTGATTATTATCACTCAGCTCCTGTAATCAGATCATGGACACAAAGTAGTAGAAAGGAAAGCTTCATTAGCACATTTTTATTCCAAAAATGTTTTTTTTTTGTTTAATTTACTCGATGGAGCTGCCAAGCCTCCATAATCCAAGAACATTTAGAAATTGTTCTTTATGGAACAACATATCTCCTCCTCCTACAGTGCTAAGGCACCAGTTCTTCGTTACTAGTTTGAATTTGACATCTTGTACAAAACCATTACCCATTATATTACTAGGTAGAGAATTTCTCGATCGTCCGGCATCTGATTCGACAGTAGACAATTCAGCCCGGGATGCAAGCTATTCTCTCTTCCAGGCACATGCTTTGCTAACCATTTATTCTTAGGAAGGCGTCTAAAGTCGAACGCGTGTTGTACTGCTAGCAATCACATGTTTTAGTAGGAAGGGACTTGTGTTATCTGTAATTTTCCAACTAACAAAACAGACACATATATTTTCTTTTGCCCAGGCCAGGAGATTTCAATTTGATCACCAGGAACACGATGAGTCAATACTCTTGTGATCACGTCTACAGGCTCGATGACAACACTTTGGGTGCTCTTGAGGTCGGACTACTGATCGATGACGTAGAACAGCAACAGTGCAGCAGTATGTAGTCTCATTGTTTGCTCTCCAAGAGGCTCCCGGTTGCAGAGGGACTGAGGGAGGGTCGTTTCATGATTTGACAAGGTAGAGCTGGAGAGGTCGTTGTTTGCTGGGGCCTAGACTAGGCACAACAATAACACCATGGCAATACTGAACTACGGAGTACTAGCTAGTTTCTCGGAAAGAATGCAATTCTAAGTTTAGTCAATAACAAACTTTCTTACGTTTTTGTGATAACTGTATGCTGGAACTGATGATATCTGTTATCTGAAAAAGTTTTTTTTTTTGAGGGAACTGGAGGGGTTGGCACCCCTACAGCATATTTATGTTATCTGAAAAAGTTGACAAACATCTATACCCTATAAACGGTTGTTAGTTTTTGTGGTTTTAGAAATTTTCAGTTTGTGTAGTATGCCAGTTATAGAATCAGAACTATTGGCTGCACTCATCAGCAGCCGTGTAAGCAATTCTTTGGGTAACATTTTCAGATATCTAACTGTCGCTGAGTCGTCTGACCGCCAGCTACTTCGGCGTCTCCTCAAGTGATATTAATCAAGCAAAGTGTAAGCAGACAGTTTGTTGTCATAGACGCAACATTCTGTTTTTTTTTTGACGCTGTCATTCTGTTTTAATTTTGACAAAAGTATCATTTTTAACAAAATTGAATGATTATTATCAGCAAGTCCCATGTCTTAGAGCGAGTGTGCCATGCTGAACACCAATGTGTTGATGTCAATGTGGAATGGAGCGAAATCTCGAAAATCTTCAGTTCCTGCCTTCCTGGAAGACGACTGAAATCTTCAGGCTGAGGCCGTAGGCCAGGAACTGAAATCTTCAGGCCGAGGGCGTAGGCCAGGAACTGAAATCTTCTATTCGTAAATTCAAACATGAGAGACCTGAATTTGGAACAAGTTCATGAATTAAAATCGTTGTATAATTCTAATTCCACGACTTACGGCATTACTAAGGCTGCAGATGTGCTCAAATTACTTCGTGATGTGCTGATAGCTGTTTGAGGACAGATGGATTTTGCTCATCTGGCTTGTGGGGCCGGCTGCCCAGTCCCCTGCCTCTCTGACGACTAGACCCCACCTGGCAGGGCAGCCCTCTCTCTCGATTCCTCCCCAACCAAACCACCAAACCCTCGCTTTGCCGGCGGCGCGGGGATGCGGACCTCCTGGCAGGGCAGCATGGCGGTGCCGGAGGATCTCGTCGAGGAGTTCCTTCTCCGCCTCCCGCCGGCCGATCCCGCGAGCCTCTTCCGCGCCGCGCTCATCTGTAAGCCCTGGTGCCGCCTCATCTCCACTCCCCGCTTCCGCCGTCGGTTCCGCGAGTTCCACCGCACGCCCCCGACGCTCGGCTTCCTCGCCAATACCAGCAAGCCGGGACCCGGCCCCTACGTGGCCCGCTTCGTCTCCACCTCCTCCTTCCGCCCGCCGGCCCCCGCCGAGCACCGCGGGTGGCTGGTGCTCGACGCTCGCCACGGCCGCGTCCTTCTCCGCAGCATCGAACCGGGGAGTCGTCCCAGGCTCATGGTGTGGGACCCCGTGACGGACGAGTGGCGGCAACTACCAGAGGTGTCTCTGTTCGCGACCGACTGGAACGCGGCTGAAAATACATCTTAGCCCTTTAGTCGGAGAAATTTGGATTTTGGGCCTAATGTAGCATGTTCGTTTTTATTTGGCAAATAGTGTTCAAACATGGACTAATTAGGCTCAAAACGTTCGTCTCGCAATTTCCCACCAAACTGTGCAATTAGTTTTTCTTTTCGTCTACATTTAATGATCCATGCACGGGCCGCAAACATTCGATGTGACAGGTACTGTAGCAACTTTTGAGAAGTTGGAGTGGAACTAAACAAGGGCTTATTATGATAGGCATTTGATGTGGTCTTGAGAATTGTAGGCTGAAAATACCGAGCAAATTGAAGTCATCTCGCTTTCTTCCTTGTAGATGCCTGCCTTGTGCCTATGACCAATGCTGAACATTTTCTTTGCTGAATTCAGTAAAAAATGAATTAAAATTAAAAATATAAAGACATGGATGAATTGATGATATCTCTGTTAAACAAAGAGAGGTCTTCTCCAGTGGGTTTGAGTCGATCTTCCCTTAATGATTTGTGCAAGTACTGGCTCTTAATAACCAGTGGAGCTGTGTGTTAGACAACCAATCCCTGATTAGTGGAAAGTAGATTATCTTGTTGCCCATCTATGCAAGTAGATTACCGTGATTGAATGGTGTATAGCTTGGCTTTTGTACTGCTATGGTGATGGCTGTTATCACCATTATTTAACAGAGCTCCGTGGCCCTAAGGGGTTCAACACGCTTCCACATAATATACACGATTTCTATTGTCTATCACTGTGGGTACTGTGTGGCTAGGGGTGCTTCGTTAGCACCTTGTTGGAACATGTTTCTTGGTAAGAAAATGTACACTGATGGCATACCAATTCCACAATCAGCATACATTTTTTTTTAATGTTTGTGTTGTGCAGCACCAGATTGACCATTACAGATGAGGAGCTAGCGGTTGATGGTTCTGGTGCATGAATTAAAAAACTCAAGCTTCAGCAAGGCCTCCAAATCCCAGAATGAAGTGTGCCACTGTTGGGGGATAACACCTTGTTGTTTGGTTTCAGTGGGTAGTGAATGGAAATCGAAGATAATTTTAAACTACTGTTGTATTGGTTGTCTGCTGTAACAACCCAAAAATCCACACACCAAAAATACCAACTATAAAATTTTTCTTAGAACTCCCATGTGATGATGAATGTCATGTATAGTAAACCAACCTAAGGGATGCATTAGGTCTAATCCCAACTCAAGTCAACACATAAGCATGGCATGTCATTTGTTGATTAAGTTTATTTAAATTCTAACAAATAAAGTATTGCATACATTGTTAATTCAAGCTGTGATTTGGATTTCCATTTGCTTTATGTTATGCTTAACAATTCCATTAAAGTAATAAACCATAAAGTTAATATTAAACAAAATTCCCTAAACTCCAATGAATAAGTTACATCAGTTTTGAATTCAAATTCTAAACCAAATTTGAATTCAAACAATGGAAAAGAAATGAAAGACAGAAAAAAAGAAAAGAAGAAGTGGGCCTCTGAGCCAGCCGCTCGGCTTCACGGCCCAGCCAGCCCAAGCGCGCATCGCTCACGCCCGCGCGTTTTCCCATTTCACCTGCTGCCGCTGCCACACAGGCCCCGCATGTCAGCCCCCCAGTTCATCTTCTCCACGCCACGCCCCCAACCGCTCACGCCGAATCCCCTCTCCGACCGAGCCCCGACAGCACTGGCAGGGGCGGGCCAGGGGGTCATGCCCGGGGCATGCCCCTGTCTCCTTGGCGCCGCGCCTACGCAACCTCGCGCCACCGTAGGATTGCCTCGCCCGTCTCTCCACCGATCGATCACCGTCCGCCATGGAAGCTTGGTGGACGGCTATAAAAGCCCCAGCCCCGAAGCCCTAGCGCTCGTCCCGTCGCCCCGCCGCCACCATGGTGGTCATCCACTGCGCACCCGAGCCAAGAGAGAGGAGGGAGAAGGGGAAGAAGGGGGAGAAACGCTGAAGCCGCTGCCGGGGGAGGACTGGGAGCACGCCGGAGTTCGGGGCACCGCCACGGGTCGGCACTGCACGGCTTCCGGAGCTACACGGCCGCAACTCGTCACGGCACCGCCATCCTATCGTCTACGACACCAGCGATGAGCCTCAGTTCTTCCCCTGCTTGCCGCCGGACCCTGCTGTTCGGCCATGGCGCTCCACACCAGGAGCGCGTAGGCTAGGGCCGTCTCCGGCCACTGGGAACACATGCACCGCACGCGCACCAGCCCAAGGTCTGGCCTCACCGACCCCTAGCAGCTCGGGAACACCGACACGACCACACCTAGCCTCTCGGACGCCATGAACGGACCCCGTCGGAGCACGAGCTCTTGCTCCGGCTTAGCCAACCGGTAGCATATAAGGACCACCACGACCCTCTTGTTGAGCCAAACGGAAACACGAAGCAAAGGGAAGAAAGGCGGCGACGCTGAGCCCTCTGCTCGGGAACGCCAGCGTCGAGCGCTCTGCTCATGCCATGCATACACATCGCACGCACGCACGCGCTCACCATGGCCAGAGCACAACCATGGTGAGACCACCGCATCTTCTACATCGCGGTAAAGGCGACGTTGACACCCTGACTGACTCTGCCATGATGAGAGACACACAACGCTCACATTAGCCGAGGATGAAACCCACCGGAGCCCTGCGTTGCCGCATCGCACCTCATCGGAGCGCCACCGCCTCTGTTTTGCCCTCACCACCGTGGCCGGAGGCGTTGAGAGCTCCCGGAGCCCCTTCGACCTGCTCGCCATGATCGTAGCAGCGTCGGGGAGCTCGTGCGCACCACCAATCTCCGGTATCGCTGCCACAACCACCACACCGCCGCTCGCTGGTGTACGAGGACCGCTGCCACCGCAGCCAGCCAACTGGAGCCGCCTAACCACCACGTTAACTTCACCAGGGCACCTGCCAGGGCAAGGCTAAGCTTTTGCCCACCTTAATTGCACACCTGTGCTGCTGGAGGGGCTCACCGGTGAGCTCACCACCAGCAGGAGCACGACGGGGAAGTAGATTGTGATTTTCCCCTCGCCGGCCACACGTCCGAGCACTTGGTGCACGTGAACCGAATACTGGGAAGGAGTAAGAGGACCAAGCCCTTCATAGACCGGCTCTGCGGTCTATGGACCAACGCAGGCGGGTTCACCAAGAACCGCACCTCACCTGTCAGACACCGTTTGACCCCGGACCCTCCTGTCAGCCACGGTTTAGCTCGAATGGCGCCATGCTGACGTCATGCCGATGATGAGACCACACCAGCGTCGGGGACTTCGGCAATCTCTCCGACCACCCGCGTGATCTCTCCGACCACCTCGGTCAGCCTTCCGACCACCTCGGCCAACCTTCCGACCACTTCGGCGATCTCACCGACCACATCGGCGAGCTCTCCGACCACCTCAGCGATCCCACCGACCACGTCGGCGAGCTCTCCGACCACTTCGGCGACCTCTCCGACCACCACACCAGCTGTGTCCCTACATGACACGTGAACCAGTCACAGTGTGACACGTGTCAGCCCTGAATTAATCAGCCTTAATTTAATCTTCGGAAATATATAACTAATTCATACGATCTCAGAAAAATACGAAACCAGGACCAAAATTCATCTAAAATCAAGCTCTACACAATGAACTCATGTTTGAGTGCATTTGGCTCTCTTGAATTTTCATTGCTTCTTTGTGCTATTCTATAGACGTCGCTAACGCGACTATAATGCGATCGCTTGCAGACTCGGAGGAGAACCGGACGGACGAGGATCGTGAGTACCGTGAGGAGTACGGTGACGACTACACTGAAGGTGCCACATCCCACCCAATCTCGTAGCACCTATTACGCATGGCTAATATAGAAATGCTAGTGCTTACTTTATTGGCATGATCACACTATGGTAGGACTTGCATGGTAGTATGTTTTCTTGATGGCCTTTACCTTGACGCAACCTTACCCCTGCTCACCCTGCTGTTAGGCTAGTCACACGCTTGCTATTATATTTTATTGCTTATTACTTCTACTACGCTTGCACTATAATGATGCGTGGTGGAAACTGGTGTTATCTGGACCATGGGGAGAGTGCTGCGTGTGTGACTTGGGTGCGTGGAGGGTGAGGGTTGTGTCGACCAAGTTGGAGTATACGACGAGCCTGGGGCAAGTCTTGCCGTGGGGTGCTACCTGGGCACCCCTGGAATGGATACCTGTGGTGGGTAAATAGTATATGAGGTGGCCCTGGGTGTGAACCTGTTATGGGAAGAGCCCAGGGTGGAGGTGCTGTGGTGGCACGGTAAATGAAAACCCTGATGGAGACATTCTGGCTTGGTCATCCCGAAGGACTTACTAGTACTCAGATTCACCAGGAAGTCTTATGTACCACTCGCCCTATATGATGCGGGACGGCCAGACTACTTGGTAGGATATTGCTACTATTGCTAGGTTGATAGCGGACAGTGTGAGGGAGGTATGAGGCGCGGAGGATTCCCCCCACACCCTTCCGAGACTTCATGGAGACCTTGTGGACCCGGCTCATGACTCATAGTTTCAGCTCATGACTTGTTGGCTATGGACCTTTCCTGGGTTTCGCTTAAACTAGATAGTGAGATGAGTCCTTCTTTTCTCCGACTGGGATGAGTGTTCGGACGTAGACAGGGGCTACGGGCCTTGAGACAGTGCCGAGAGGGAGTTGGCCTGTCGACTGAGCGATGGTACGGGTGTGGTATGGTGATGGTGTGGATATGGTGGTTTATCGATCCCAGGATCGAAACCTGGCTCTAGAATGGGAATGGGGTGGAATGTGTGTGAATGGTGTTAAAACTTGATCAACTATTATAATGAACTTGATATGCTAAAACATAGGAAAACCCAGCCTTATAGGTTCCTTTTGATTATATCCGACTTGCATCCAATTTCCACAAAAGCAATGCTCACAGGGTTGGGAGTGGCCAGTACAAATCGTACTGATAAATTTTGGCACACAGGTTCTGCTGAGGAGTATAGCTCCGAGGAGTTTGACGGTTGAGGGGTT